AACTGCTTTCTTTATCAACTCTTCTTCCGGTATCTGAAGTAATTCTGGCATATTCCAGTTATACGCCCGTGGCATTTTTTTCTTCGGGGACTTTTCTTCTTCTTTTTCTTCTTCAGGATTATATGAATTACAGAATGGATGTTCAACATGTTCATTCACAGTCGTAACTTCCTCCTCATTATCATCAACATTACATTCTTCGGCAACGGCTGTTTCATCATCAAAATTCGGGTATTGACCAATATCAATATCATTACACGCATGGTCTGTTTCTTCTTCTGAAACATCATCAAAATCCGTGTATTGACCAATATCAAAGTCCGGATATTGACCAAGACCAAATTTCGAATACTGACTAGTACTCACAATTTTTTCTGTTGGCTCATCGTCTAACTGGTCAATACGAAAACCGGAATTTGGTGCTGAAAGTTGATTGGGATTTGGATTAGAGAAAGGTTGTGGGTTTTGAGAAAAACTTAGTTGATTACTACCCGCTACTGACCCAACAATACTACTTCTAGGTTCAACAACATACAATGTAACATCATCTTGTGAAACACTAATGTAAGCAATGAATCGTTCAACATCTTCATTGTCGGTTAACAAATAAACTTTACCATTTCTCTGAAGATAGCCTAAATCCACTTAGGGGCTCTAAATTCAATTTATTTGAAACACGTAGCATTAGAGTTTCATAAGTTAACTTTTGTAAAGACAATTTTAGTTGAAGATTCATGGGTAAAGGCATATATTGTAAAACACCATGAACATTATCCCATGACCCTCCAAAACACAAATCTATCCAAACATGATCAACATTAGATGATTTCATGGTTGTAAATTAATTTACTAAACAGACGAGCTGCGAAACTAAAACCTGTTGCCGGATTGGGAAGGATGTCGTTGGATATAGGAACGGATGTCGCCGGAGAGAGTGATAGATGGAGATGGAATGAGTTGCGATTTAGGGATTTAGTTTATGATTTCAGTGTTATATACCAAAATTTCAGTGTTGTGATTTACAGATTCTCGTTGCGATTTACGGATTATCGTTGCGATTTACAGATTCTCGTTGCGATTACGGATTATCGTTGCGATTTACGGATACGCGTTGCGATTTACGGATTATCGTTGCGATTTACGGATACGCGTTGCGATTTACGGATACGCATTGCGATTTACGGATACGCGTTGCGATTTACGGATACACGTTGCGGTTTACGGATACGCGTTGCGATTTACGGATACGCGTTGCGATATACGGATACGCATTGCGATTTACCCATACGCGTTGCGATTTACGGATACACGTTGCGATTTACGGATACGCGTTGCGATTTATGTGTTCGCGTTGCGATTTTCATATTCGCGTTGCGATTATGGAAAATCGCAATGCGAATTTGTACTATCGCATCGCGATTTTCAAGAATCGCGTTGCGATTTGGAAACTGATTGCGATTCTGGGGATCGCGTTGCGATTTTTATTTCGCGTTGCGAATTTTTGGTCATTTTGGCAAATCCAAAAAAAGTGGTTAAAATCGTATATTATAACTTTTTTTGGTCACTGAGACGATTTTCTCTTAAATAAATGGTAAAAAAAACTGTAAAAATAGATAATCGAATAAAACGTCAAAATATCACCTATTAAGAGGTGTCACACGTCATGGAAAGCAAGAACTGTTCATCATCTTCATAAAAACTCTAATAGTTAACTTTTTTTTATTTCAATCTTCATTTTTGTTGCTTTTAATTTTTTTTTATAAATTTATTAAATAATCTCATTAATAAAAAATCTTATTCTTTATAAAGATCTCAAATTTAAGTATATATATTTGTAGAGTACATATTTTCTCAAATATTAAAATAATTTTAAATATATTATTTTAAAATCACTTTAAATTATTAAAAAATTATTATTTCCACTCTAGGACAAGAGAACATTAAAAGTGTCAACTTTAATGTCTATTGAAATTTACATACTAATATTTTACAAGTCTTGTTTTTATGTTATCTTTTTAATTTCATAAGATCACGGTTTATTAGTGATAAAGATAAAGTTAATATTAAAATATTGTTTTATGACATTAATTTAATTAAAAATTAGATAGTAATATAAGCTATGAAGTTCATCAATTACATGTTAAAAAAAGCTATTACGTGGACGCTTGTGCAAAAAAATTGGATTGGATTAAACCATTTCTTAGATGGATAATTTAGGCTGCCTTAAGCTTAAAGTTTGATATTTCGTGTTTAGAATAACAAAGCGAAGTCATTTTACAGACTTTTTCACATCTCAATTCTCCATTTTCAACAATAATGATGTTTATAAAAAGATTTAATCTTTCTAAGCTTAGAAATAAATTTTTATTAAATAATATAAAAAATAAATGGTAATTTGTTTAAAAATAATAATTAATATTTTGTATGAGTCATGTGTCTTTTGCTTATATGTTTAATAATTTAAACAGAAATTGATTTTATTGAAGCGGATAAGAGAACAAAAATACAAGAACAATAAAACTGTACCAATTGATTCTTTTATCTTTTTTTTTCCCTTTCAAACTTGTACAACTCATGGGTCTGAAGTGGACCAAACAGTGAATACCAATTTCAAAAGATGAAGTCCAAGTAATCTTTGAACAAATCTAGTTTGAAATAAATTATAAGCCGCAAAAAGAGCATAAAATTGCCAAAAGTTTATTTGAGTTTGATTTGGTTAGAGTTTGATTAAAATAATTTAATTTGAATTGAAGTTTGAGTTCGAATCGAATTCTTAACAATAATATATTAAAATTTTATTTTTTTCAATTAAATTAATAATAATAAATATTTATATTTGTTTAATAAAAAACACATTATAAGATTTTTATGTACTTAGGATTCATGTTCGAGGTCGAGTTTGAGCATCAATTGAGTTAAATATGATAATGTTTTGAGTTCAAGTTTTTCGAACTCGAGTCGAACTTCAATTTTTGATTTCAAGTTTGAATTGAACTTGATAATTATAAGTTTACAAGCTTTCAAATGAAGTTGAACTTTGAATTTTTGAAATCGAGTAGAACATAACAATATTCAAATTCGAGTCAAGTTATTTATAGCGGTTATCGTCATTAATGCTTTATGATATGACCCATTCCATGTGTGTGTTTGTTCTTCAATCAATACCGTTAATTAATATTTATTTGTTAGACGTGCTCAGGGCTTAGTCTCTAAAATTCTGATTAACAGTGCACCATTTTTATCATCAAAAGCATTTAATTCTTGGCACAATATAAAATTCATTTGATTGGATCTTAAATTCCTAATTATTTGACGCTGCCTTTTCCCAAGGAGCCAAGGCCAATATATGAAAAAGAATATGTTCTTATAAGAATAAATAGAAAGAGAGACAGTGAACTAGGTCTTAACTTCATCATAAGATTGAGATCTCAAAACACAATATTTCATGTTCAAATCTCGTTATATATATATATATATATATATATGTATGTATGTATTTTCTTTATTTATGACAATAGATTCAAGTATTTTATAATAAAATAAAAATTATTAACATATGATCAATGTGATTCTTTAAATGCTTTTTATTTATTAAAACCCAAAAGTAGAGATTTTGTGATTAAAAAAAAGGGGTGAAGATTTTGTGTGCTTATTTAATTGTACCAGTAATAATTTGATTCATCGTGGACGGGGTTTAAGTATTCGACTTCACCGGGGGCCATGTTTACTGTTGATGTTTATCGTTGAGTGCATGGGATAAAGCAGAGAATGTACAACATGATAGATCGTGATTAGAAAGAAAAAAAAGAAGGAAACAAATAAGGAAGATTTATTCTTTTCTGTTGTATTTTTATAATAAATTTATAATTATGAATAAAATTATTAAATTAATTTTTTATATTTAATATTTACCAAAAACCACTTGAAAACCAATACAATTATTTTTATATCAACACGATGATAATTACTGTTAAATTTTGATAATGATATATTTATATATACACACTCGATGAAATAATTAGTACGTGTAGTGTAGTTAAGTATTTATGTAATTTTGCTATAATACTATCTGTTATCGCATGTGCTCTCCAATGTGAAAGACTTATTTTGTTCGCTTTTTAATAATAGTATTTGTCATCACGTGTCTAATTATTTTATTTTTTACGTGAAAGTGTAAGCTATATTTCATCTATTATAATATTAATTATGGAGATTAAAAAATTAAGTAGAGTTATATTTCAATTACGAAAAATAAATTGATTTACTTTTAAGCACAGTAAAAAATAGAAGTTTTAAAATAACACAATTTAATTACAGACCTTTTATATTTTATTTATGATCAAATTAACATGTATTTATTTAGTATTTTTTCTATAAAATTTTGACATAAAAAAAGGCAGGAAATATTATCCAAATGAAAATATGGAGTCGTGTATTTGATATACTGAAACACTTTGACTTTTGAACCGAGAGAAAAAAAACGAAATTCGACTTAACCGTATTGCACTAAGCCGGTGGATGAACCGACCATATTCCAGTTAGGGGGAGCAAAGGACAAAACCAACCGCCGTCACACTCACAATTGATACATGTTTAACTGTTTTTCAAACACAACGAGAGAAGACCAAATTGACGAAGCTCCAGCTGGTTCATTTCACGTGTCAACCTATGGTTGGTTCGTGTAATTTTATGCTTTTAAAGGGCGTGGCAGACAGAGAGTGGAGATTCCGCGGAAGCGCTTACCAATACAGCAAACAGTGAGAAAAAGTAAACGACTTTGCGGTTTTCGACTCTATAAATAAACTCATACTTTAAGTCCCAGTTTTCATTAGCTTTGTTTGCTTCCAAATATTCCTGGAAAGATTTGGAGTGTACGTTTCCGGCTTTTTTCCCAGGAAATATTAGCCTCTTTGGTGGGTGTTTCTTATGTTTCTTTCTGGGAAATTCTGTTCTGCTCTAATATTTCTGGGCATAATCTGTTTTCTTTATTGGTTGAATTGTTTCTTTGGTTTTCAATGAATATCGTTGTTTTCGTGATAAGTTCTCTCTCAATTCTTAAATGAGTAGTCTTTAGTTACAGGTCAAGGTTCGTCAATTTTGAGTTCTATCAACCGATACACACACAAATGGCCATGAAGGAAAACGGGTCCATCCCAAGCCGTGCACCAGAAGAACTGAAGGCAGTTTTGAAAGCAGTGGCATCCGAATGGGGAGATATAATAAAAGACATGGAAGAATTTCTTGTCGTTAAGTTGAAGGGAGCAATGACTAACGAGGTTTTCCAGATAAACTGGCCGACAAAGCACGGTGGTCTTCATCAGAAAGTGCTGGTCCGGGTTTATGGTGAAGGTGTGGAAGTGTTCTTCAATAGGGATGATGATATTAGGACCTTCGAGTGCATGTCCGAGCATGGTCAAGGACCTAAGCTTCTTGGGCGGTTTCCAGATGGAAGGATTGAGGAATTCATCCATTCCAGGGTATCTCTCTCAATACTTTGTCTTTTTTTTATTTATCATTTTGATATATAATTTCTGCAATTTTCCAGATTGTACACACTGTTATTTTACTTAATGGTCTTCAAAAGTTGAGCTTAGTTTTAAGAAGAGCCTGTTTTTCTGAGAAGTTAACTGGCATAGTCATTCAAGTACCTATAAGATATTTTGACCCCATTTCTTCTTTTTGGTATTTACCAGACACTCTCCGCCGCAGACCTCCGTGACCCTGAAATATCTTCCCTTGTAGCAGCTAAACTGAGAGAGTTCCACAATCTTGACATGCCTGGTCCCAAGGATGTACTTCTCTGGAAGCGATTGAGGTACCAAATATGCATAACTAATATTTGTGCTTTTATACTCTTGAGTTGGAAGATCTAAACCCTTTATGTTCCTTACCAGGACCTGGCTTAGTCAGGCAAAGAAATTGTGTTCCCCTGAAGCTGCAAAAGAATTTGGCTTGGACGCTCTCAGAGACGAAATCAGCATCCTCGAGAAAGAGTTGTCGCAGGGCGATCAGGAAATCGGGTTTTGTCACAACGATTTGCAATACGGTAACATAATGATGGATGAAGAAACAAGAGCAATTACCCTGATCGTAAGTATCTTATTCGGTTCTTATAATTTGTCAATGCGGCTTCTATACAGCACTTTCGGTTCTAGTGGCTACCATTGCATTCTTCTTGGTATCAACTTTCTTGCTGTTTCTTTCTTTTGGCCTGTTCTCAAAGGGACAGCTGCTAAATTTGTATATGAATTGAGTATATATGTTCCCTTTATGTAGGACTACGAGTATGCAAGTTACAATCCCGTTGCTTATGACCTTGCAAATCACTTCTGCGAGATGGCAGCAAATTATCATTCAGAGACACCCCATATCTTGGACTACACCATATATCCTGGTCAGTAATTGTTTCATTGACTTCTAACCGTCTGGCATTTTCGGGTCTAATTGTACCCCTTCCTTTTGAATTTTCGACAACAGATTCAGAGGAGCGCCGAAGATTCATCCGTGCATATATAACATCTTCAGGTAAATTATGTCAAAGAGTATGGGGTACAATTACATATTCTAACTGGTCTTAATTGAATGCAGGGAATGAACCCAGTGATGCTGAAGTGGAGCAGCTACTTGCTGATGCAGAGAAATACACCGTTGCTAATCATCTGTTCTGGGGCTTATGGGGAATCATCTCGGTAATCTTTTCGGCACCACCTTTCGCTTCTTTTCGATTAGCTTATCCGGCTTCGAGTTTCTTCATGGACTAATTATGGTGGGGTTGGTGTGTACCCAGGGTCACGTAAACAAAATAGAGTTTGACTACCTGGAGTATGCAAGGCAGAGGTTTAAGCAATACTGGTATAAGAAATCACTTGTTCTTCAGTCCCTGACTTTTTGATGCAGCCAAGGCAAGTTATCAGATAACAGCTATAGATATACGTAGAATAAACCTAGCCTGTTGATAGGTGCTTATTCACTGCTGGTGAAAAGCTTTTGTAAATGACTGTTGTAAGGGTTGTGCTCGTTACGTGGGCATATAATCAATACTCTTTTAAGTGTTGTTTATTTCACGATTCAAACTCTTAAATAGGTGAGATGGGATGCTTGTTTGAATCTTGTGAGATTTTGCTTTTCAATTGCTTCATCAAAGTGCTTTGGGTGCTTCTGCTGGATCCAAGTTTGAACCTTATACACACATTTAATCATGTAACCAACTCCAGTTTAGTATTGTTTTTTTTAAATTGATCTTTAAAAAGTATAATTTAAAATTTAATTGTTCGAAGGATAAAATATTTATTTTAGACATTATGTTGTAATTTGAAAATACAATGTTTAAGAGTAAAATTATAATTTCACCTAAAAGTGATTTTCCACAACAAAAACTAGAAATTTGAGCTTATGGAGTTGGATTAAAAATCACTTTTTCAATTACAATTTTAAATTAATTTTTCAGTATTTAACATTACCTTATGAGGTGAAAATCACTTTTCCATTACTATAAACATTCACTAGGGGCGTGGCTGAGTAAGTGCATAGTGCGCGACGACGTAAGGCCTCAAAAAACAGGATCCCAAAATAGAGTATATCTATCAGTTGTTGCCATTAAGATGTAGAAAATAGATATAGAACAGTGGTTAGATTATTAGGCCCATGACTTTGTTGATCTTAAATTTGAATCTCGTTAACAAACAAATTTATTTTTGGGAAAAACAAATTCAAATTTGCACAGGGCCCCCGAAATAGAGTATATCTATCAGTTTTTTAAGTTAATGAAATTAGTCATTTATTATTTTAGAAAAATAAGTTCCAGATGTAAGAGGCCCTTTACAAGAATTTGCACAGGGCCTCCAACAACTTAGTCACGGCCCTGACATTCACAGATTAAATTTAATATTCTGTAAAAAATTTAAAACCAAATTATATAATGCAACTAGATATACTATATCAATTAACATCATATAAAATTAATAAAAGAATAATTAACATTGACGAATTGCCTTAATGGTTTACATTTAAAATTTACGATGACTAGAGTTTATTTTGGGATGAAAGGAACCTAAGAAGTTTTCAAGTCATAAATCCTATCCCTGCATTAACAAATAACAATTATATCAGCTAACTAACGGAAAATTTTAAAACATTTTGGGCAGGCAAGATCAAAAAAATTCTCCTTTGAAGCCATCCATTGACTGAAAAGGCACTTGAAGGTTCAGAAATTCAAAGAGCTTCTCAACTAAACTAGGCAATTTAAATTTACAGAAGTAACACCACCACTGTTAAAATCGGCTACAACTTCATTCATGGTAACGTCAGCTAAAATTACAAAAAGTTAAACTAAAGATTTACAGAGGCCACTACTACTGTTAACTAACTGATTAACACGGTTTCCATCAGAACGCTTTCGTCCCACTTTGGAGATTTCAGAACAATGATGTCACCGAAACCATCGTCCTGCTGCACATCCACAAGTCCTCTAGTTTTCAACACCTGCAAATTTTGCACCAACAAACGTAACTTAGCTTTCAGTTTGAAAATTCCATTTCCATGTCTATAGGGTATGACAAGCTTCTATGTTAGACTCGAGTGTAAGCAATATACCAATATCTCGTAAAAGACCTTCACGCTTGCTTTGATAAGTTCACCTTTCTTCCTCCCCTTTATTCTTTTGATCTTGAAAACTTCTCTGAGGTCTCTTTGGCACCATTCTGTGCATCAAATTTAAAACTTAACCGATTAAACTTTATAATACAATATTTTACTACCCTCATACATAATCATTTAGTATTTTATCATATTTTCGCCTTTCTTTATTTTTACTATATTATTTCTGGTTTGAACACAATTTCTAGAATTTTCTTTTTATAATACTATACATAAAATATATGTAACATCTATAATCAAATTTATTCTAAAACAAGTTATTTGGTTGTTATCTACCGTCACACGACCTCCCACTGATTTACACTATGTTTATAATATTTATTGTAAAATGCATTTTTAAACTTATACAGTTTTTTATCATATACTTACTCTTTTTACTGTACTAATCTTTTCACTATATTATTCTTTTTCCTATATCGTTCCTTTCACTGTACTGTTTCTTTTTCTATACTGATTTATTTACTGTTTCTTTCCTTTTATTACACTATTTCTCTTATTGTATTATATCTTTTACTGTTATGTATCTGACGTTGTACTATTTCATAAAATATATGTAACATCTATAATCAGATTTATTCTAAAACATGTTTATTTGGTTGTTGTCTACCGCCACACGACCTCCCACTAATTTACACTATGTTTATAACATTTTACTGTAAAATGTAATAATTAAACTTGTACAGTTCTTTATCATATACTTACTATTTTTCATGTACTAATATTTTCACTATATTATTCTTTTTCCTGTATCGTTCCTTTTACTGTACTGTTCATTTTTCTGTACTGATTTATTTACTGTACCTTTCCTTTTATTACAATATTTCTCTTATTATATTGTATCTGATGTTGTACTATTTCATATATATACCATGTATTGTACTATTTATTTAATTTCATTTTATAGCCTAGTACATAATCATTAGAATGTATGATACTCGAGTCTCATTGATTGACTTTTACAATATTCAATTATTATTTCACCTCATGCACCATAAATGTACATGATTCATATGACTGATATGTACTATATTCAATTATCACTCTACCTCATGTACCACAAAGATACATGAGTCATATGAGTGATTTGTACTGTATACAATTATCATTCCACCTCATGCACCACAAAGGTACATGAGTCATATTACTGATCTGCACCACAAAGGTACATGAGTCATATTATGATCTGTATTGTATTCAATTATCACTCTACCCCATGCACCACAAAGGTACATGAATCATATGAATGATATGTACTGTATTTAATTATCACTCCACCTCATGCACCAAAAAGGTACATGAGTCATAGGAGTAATATGCACTTGTTCACTTTACCTCTTGCATCATTGACTCTCATATCTTATAAATTGACTTCTATTTATGTCTTATATCTTTATTAATATAAAACATTTAAAGACTAATTATCAACTTCATACAATATTTTAACATATGTTAATACTTTAACTAACTTAATAATTCATGTTAATATAAATGTTTTAAAAATATTATTAACGGATATTCTATAACACCCCAACCCGTATCCGACCCGAATACGAGTCCGAGATGTCACATAAACTTTTCAAACCATTTCTTATATCAAATAGAGAAATATTCAAATTCCATTTATAACATACTAAATAATTTACATATATTTACTCAAAACGTTTACAAAACTGTTTAGAGCTTATACAATTTATTTTTCTATAAATACATGGCAACTAGATTATATAAAATAAAATACATATTATACATTTCTCTTCTGATCTGACCTTCGGTAAGGAGAACTGACCTGTCTTGCTTCACTTCGATCCATAAGCTCATCTTGGAACCTACATGTGAAACATTCACACGCTAAGTCGATGACTTAGTGAGGCATATAAAATTTCTAATGCAATTTATAACATTTAACCATGAATGCGTGTTTTACAAACTATATCATGTTATACAAACTCACTTCATTTCATCACATCATGTAAAAATCATATCATATTTCATAGCAAGAAATATATATATATACACACACATAGATCATTCTTAACATACTTTACACTTAACCTTATTGATCAAACACTAAACACACAACATCATATCATTTCTATAACATTTCATATCACAAACATATATGTGTTATTGTCTCTTTATTAGCCCATGTACATATGTGAGAACTAAAGATATGCGAGTACATTAAAGTTGTGCACCTATGCTGTCACCACAGCTCGTATAAAGATCCACTGAGTGGCATGTGAAATTGTCCCGAATGACCTATGAACCCTCGACTCTTGGCATGTCAACTATACCCCTAGCTCTCATTTCACATAACATAGGCATTCTCTTTCATATCATTTCTTATATTCATATAAACATATGGTTCACTTTTCATATATCACATATCATAGCTCATATCACTGTTCATATGATTTCATATTCATATGTCACTTATCTTATAACACTTCTCGTGTTTTCATATAACATGTATATCATTTCCATCTCTTGTTCAAATATGTTTCCCGTATATCATATATATATCACATTTACTTATAGGGATCACTGTCATTGAACTTAGTTCACTTTTTCATGTTATCACACATGCATATAATCTTATATTTCCTATCAATAACATATAGACTTAAACATATACTCATATGTACTCTTTAATGTAATTTGCTTAGTAATGCCATATACTCATATCCTATAATAATTTCACCTATGTCTCCCTCATAAAGTTTATACTATATGCTCATATAGTCTTATTTTATCATATAAGTAATTTATACTCATCTTATCTCACTTTTCCATTTCACTCACATAAATCATTTATAACCGTTCACATGATTTGATTTCACTAACCTGAATTCATACAGATCATATAACCTATATTACTTATCTCACATTATTTCTCTATTAGTTTAATCTATTTATTTAATTCAATTTCACATGACTCTTATACCATAGTTTCCTTTAATTATAAATCTTCCCTATATCGCTTATCTTATAATTTTGTATCATCATTTATGATTATGCCCCCTAATTTACATACTATTTTCATAAAGTCTTATAACCTTTCTTGTATAATCACTTATACCATATAACATAACTTATACTTGATTATCTTCTTTTCACATATATTTATATCAAATAATTCTTTAGCTTATAGCCTGTGTCACGTGTTCGTTTCATTCCTTATCTCTATATCACATAGCTTATTTTATATTCTTATATAATCATATAGATCATTTGTATTGTTTCACCTAACTTATCACACTAACATGTACTTATACAAA